CTGTACTTCCGATTTGATTTGAAACTGTCTCATTGCTGTTTATCAATACAATTTTGAAAAAAAATTAAAAAAAAAACAGCTTTCAGGCCACATGTCAGAGATCCATCTGCAGGTCCCTTTTTGAATCACAGTAGACAAGTATTTCTGAAGAGTCATCTAAAACACAACTCTATTTAAAACAAGATTGAACATAAGGCAGCTGAGCAGGAAAGAATTTTATTATAAAGCCGGAAATAATTTTAGAAGGCTTCCCCTGAAATGATGATAGTTAACTACCATCCATTTCCTTCAAGAAAGAAAATTTCTATTGATTAATTTTGAACCTAACAAGAAAAAGTAGTCTTACATGATCTCTGGCCAATTATTCCCCTAAAATCTCTAGTCATTCTGACCACCCTGGGAAGTAAAACACAATCAGGACATTAGAGGCAGAGTGAAAAGCACATGAAAACCTCTGCACTACTTCTGCAGTTGTGAAACTATTTCAAAATAAAGATTGTATGGAGGAAAAAGAGGTAACCTCTGCAAAGCTAGAAAATAAAGCCAAGCATAAAGAGAAACAAGAGAATGACTACAAGATCAGGTAAGGTCTATTAATTATATAATATTAAAAATAGTAACATACACAAAATAGCATGTTTGGCATGACTAGTAAGTGTACTCTTTTTTTTTCCGGACAAGTCTCACCACGGTGCTCGGTCTACCCTGTAACTACTGTTCCTAATGATCCTCCTGCGACAGCTCATGAGGACTTGAAATACAAGCATGTCACTATACCCATTTTGTTTTGGTTTTTGTTTCTGACTTCAGTTTTTTTGCAGTGTGAGGTATTGTCCCAAAAACCTTATGAATTGGGGGTGTAGTCCCCATTTTCTAAGTACAGAAAATGAAATACAAAAAAATTAATAAATACCTTCAACAAAACACAACTGCCAAGAGAGGAGGATCTAAGTCTCAAACCCACGGTGTCCAACTCTAAAACCTGAACTTCTTATCACTATACTAGCTCAGGGAAAAATAGAAATAGGGAGAAAAAAAATCACAAACACAATTTTGTATGTAAGTAAAACTTCTACCATGATCCCAAAACACAATCCAGGGCTTGTCAACAATTATGAAAATGAGAGAATTTGACCTACATACTGTTTTTTTTTTTCTGTTAGGGAAACTAAAAATAAGAAATCCAAAATAAAAACAGACCTCACTTGAGAAAAGTTTTCCCTTAGTTCTGTGAAAAAAATTTTTGGCACTCATACACTGTCTCTCCTGTCATCCCTAGAAAGGCCACCTGAGGCTTCTAGAACCTGACAGGATCATGATGGCAATATAGTTATCAGATGAGTCTACTGATGAGTCCCTAGCTGAATGAGTTGTTGGGAGGGGAGGCGTGGTAGGAAGAGACAAGGCCCTGGGGTATAACCTTGACCAGGTCCTCCCTTTCATCTCTGCACCTTAGCTGACATGGCTGAGAGGTTTCCTCCATCATGCCCTTTCTCCACCCTGTCTTGCAACCAGCTGACCATGCATGGATGAACCTCATAAATCATGAGCCAAAACAGGTGTTTTCCTCCTTTAAATTGGAGCTGTCAGGACCAGTGCAACAGGGCAGTGGAATAAGTGCCTGCTTTGTCAAGCACAAGGACCAAGGTTTGATCCCTGGTCTCACATGCTGTACCATCCCCACCCTAGGGGCACACTGAGCCAAGGACTGAGTCCAGGTGTTGTAGTGCACACCTGTAATCCCCGCGCCGAGGAGGCTGAAAACAAGAGGATCACTATAAGTCCAAGATGCATAGTGAGACCCTGTACCAAATACATAAATGAAAAAATTTAAAAAATTAAATAAATTGGAGGTGTTGGTTATTTTACGTCAGTGATGAAAAAGTGACTAATATACCTGAGATATGAGGAAGGTTAGTAGAAATGATTTTAATATTAAATGAGTTAAATATTAAATGAGTTAAATGTAGTAAGATTAGAACAAAAATACTTAAAACAGAAATGGAAAAAAATTTAAAAGATGATTGACTTTTGCTCATAAATACTGATTCTAGCTTGGTGTGGTATCACACATCTATAATCCCAGCACTTGTGAAACTGAAGTAGGAGGGGTGCTGCAAGTTCAAGCCCAGCCTGGGCTACACAGTGAGTTTAAGTTCAGCCTGAACTATGTAACAGGGACCCCCATCTTAAAAAATAAGATATATATATAGCATTGAACTATACCCTCACCCAAAACTCAAAATATTTGAAGAGAGATGGATGATATTTATGAAGTATTTAACAAAGGTATCTAGTACTGTTATGTTTTTATGTGAATTCTCACTTAAGTCTGTTTGAAATGAATAAAATGGATGGTCTCCATTTTATAGAATAAGTAAAGACTAGAAAAACTAAACAATGTCCTCTACCTTCATTCAATTAGAAGGAAGCAGGGCAGGGACATAAAATCTGGAACTCCAAACCATACTGCATTATAAAGATTCCACAGATCAACAGTTAGCACTAAACAAAGTATTAAAACCACCAGGGATTTTTTTTTTTCCAAATCAGGGACTGAACTCAGGCCCTTGTGCTTGCCAGGCAAGTGCTAATTCCACTGAGCCATCTCCTCGGCCCCACCAAGGATACTTTCATAATATAAGTTTCAAGCCCTTTACTATATTTATTATTATAGTTTAACCTCTCCTAATTACACTGTTCTATGTTCATCATTCTCTGTATTGCTCCAAAACACAATGTTACTATGTAAGACAGAAGTATTTCTAGCTTCAGCAGTGATACACATTCTTCAGAATCTTCCTGGCCAAGTGTGACAGCACATGTGTATAATCCAAGTGTTCAAAAGGCTAATGCAGGAGAAACAAAAGTTAAAGGCCAGCCTAGGCTACTCAGGCACAAATGCCGAACTGAAAGACTCAAAATGGCCCTGATCTGCGTTTCTATATGCAGTAGAGTTCTAATTTTTTTAATTTTTTATTTGTGTGTGTGTGTGTGTGTGTGGCCAGCTTAGCCCACCAGGGGGCGGGGCTGGCTGGCATGTGGTGCTGGGGGATTGAACCTCGGTCCCTGTGCTTTGCTAAGCTTGTTCTAAGTAGGTGCTTTAGACCACTGAGCCATCTCACCAGCCCTAGAGTTCTAATTCTTGATTTATCTTTTCTTCTACTTATCCCTTTTTTTTCCAAAGATAGGCCGGCATTCAGAAGTTGTACCTCAGAGATTAATGAGCCAGGTGCCAATTGGCCATATGGCTGAATTCATCTACAAAACAGAAAACACCCTGGCAAAGGCTTCAAATATAGTCACTTCATGAAATTAAATTTACATAAATAAGAACTGGACCAAACTAAAGTATTTAATCTCTTCAGAATGTGGTTTTGACATTGCATTTTTTAAAGTTACTACAAAAACACTAAACTTACCTTTCAAGAACCCAGAGGTATCATCTTCTTCAAACTTATTTGAAAACCCTGTACAAAAATATAAAAAATAAAGCTTGCAAACTTTAAAAAAAAAAACAATACAATCTACCTCTGTATTTAAAATCAGAGCCAAGTAGTTATGATGCCCTTAAAAAGAAAATAAGCCACCTCTAAGTATATACATATTAAAAGAAAACTCATTCAGTTTTTGCTAAGATTCAAGCTTTCTGACAATTTTTCATCCCCATTCTTTTCAGCCAATTTTATTTTACCTCAAAAGTCCTACACTCCCTATATGTACATGGGAAGTTCAGAAACATATGTTAGTATAATTGCTATATACTTTATATTCAAAATATCATAAAATATCTAAATATTATATATTTTAAATTTTATAAATTCCCAATCTCTTCACCTGCCAAAGAACAATGCACGTTAAATTATAATTCAACATGTGATAATTTTTCTTTTCTCAGTAGTATGGAAATTCTTAGTAATCCCTGATAATAATTCATAAAATTTTAAACACTTAAAATGTTGACTCTTAAACTGGGCCTAATGACTAACATCTGTATGCCTAGCACTACGGAGGCTGAAAGAGAAGGATCTCAAGCTTGAGGCTAGCCTGGGCTATGCAGCAAGACTTTTGTTTTTGCCTGAAACAAAAGCTGAGACTTATCTTTAGTACAAAGATATGGGGAGCCAGGTGTGAAGCACATGCCTATAGAACCAGCTACAGGAAAGACTGAGGCAGCTATAGGACTGCTTGAGCCTATGAGTTCAAGACCAGCCTGGACATCACAGTGAAAAATCCCACCTTAAAAAAACAGTATCAGGAAATGTGAGCTTCATGTATTACATTTGTGCTTCTTTAACACAAAAACTAACCAATTATTATTTAACTGTGCTCAATTGCTACACAGAACATTCATGTGTGTGCATGCACACATGTACATCTCAAGTGATTTAACATCTCAGTTTTAACAAAATCTAAGATCTTTTTCTAGAAATAAAACTCCACAAAAATATAATGCACCCCTTAGCACATGTGTACTACAAAAAAATGCATCCTACTTTCTTATTAAAGGATAAAACAATTTCTTGAGCAGATATATCATCTCAATCTTATATATTAACATAATCCCAAAAGAGTATGTTCCCGCAAAACAACATTTGCTTTGAGGATACTTAAAGAGGTCTCATTCTACTGTCTACACTGTTACACCTTATCTGCTCAAGAGTCAGTCATTTTCCAAAATACCTGTCAGTCTCCTACCTGCACATTACTGAAGTGGTTCTCAAACTCTGCCAAAATTTTGATTTACACATTTTTATGGATTTTTTAAGATAAGAAAATAATGTAATTTTGAACTTTTCTGGTTCTTTAAAGATGGGTACTAAAATACACATGAAAGAGTAAGATCTCACAGTAGCAGACAGGGAGTCTTGAGTAAAGAAGGAAAGAACTGGAATCACATGTAGGGTGAGTCAATCTGAAGATGTTCTACCAAGGAACACAACTGTTTTGAAAACAAAACAAAACCAAGCAGATATAAAGCAAGCCCATCCAGAGGAACACAGGCTGCTGAAACTATAAGTGAGATCACTCTCAGGTAACCCTCCTAAATTCTTAACAAAAGTTCACATTTTCTACGTATACTAAAAGAAAATAGGAACCCAAAGACTAAAAAGCTTAGAACCAACTCAAGTTTTGTTTTGTTTTTTTGTTTTTTTTGCGGAACCGGGAATTGAACTCAGGTCCTTCCATTTGCCTGGGAAGTGTTTATTCCACTGAGCCATCTCCCCAGCCCCCCAACTCAAGTTTTGATTGCTAAGACATTATAAGTAATTACATTTGTTTCCAAAACTCTTTCCAACTACAAACTCACCCACTGTGGAGTATGCTTTCTTTTATGAGAGTCTCCAATGTCTGAAAAAGTTCTCATAAATTCTTTAATATACAGTGTTATCCACACCACCAAAATGTAATTAAATAAGTCTTTTGGGTAAGGGGGTCTTTCAAAAATGGGAAGATAACAGCACAAAATTAAAATTAATGAGTAACAGATCTGGAACTTTAAAAAAACATAAATTATGTTATCAAAGTAAAAAACAAATATACTACTGGTAAAATATAGGGTTCTACTAATTATGGTTTTACTAGAGATATTCAACCAGGAAATTCACTCCATTTTGGGTATGTTGAGCCCTCTCCTTAACAAACCCAAATATTACATACTCTGTCCCTAGTGAAAGTCATTGGTACTGGAAACTTTATACTCTCACCCCATTTTTTAGAATTGTTCTATTATTCACTATTTTCCCAGTACCCAGTACTCTTTTGGCCCTTCTACTTGTAAAATTAAAACCAGGGATGAAAGAAAAGTGAATACCACTGCCTTTGACACTTTCATCTCTTCCATACTATTTGTCTGTATTGCTATTTATAGTTTGATTTTACATTACATAATTCTAAACACCCAACTTTTAAAAATCTTTCTGTGGTATCTGGAATTGAACTAAGGGCCTCACACTTGCCAAGAGGTGCTGTGCAGCTGACCTATATCCTCAGCCCCACCCAACATTTGAATTCCCAGAGGAAGCTAAGGCCTCATCTCAAAACAGAACACAACAAAACAAAACACCATAAGGGCAGACAGGCAATGGCAAGAACCATAATTAGGAAAAAAAAAATACAGAAATAACCAAAACAATATTAACTGACACTAGACCAAATCATCACTGCAAAAAATAAAAGCAGGTTTCAGCCCACAGGAGGCTGGCTCTGAGGCAGGGTGGCATGACAGAAGGGCGTAGCACAGAAGAAACAATCGATGGCATGGCATGGCAGGCAAAAAGCAGTGAGATTCACTCTTTCCTTTTTATTCCATCCAGGTTATAAATCTATCTGTTGGTGACATCCACACCCAGGATGGATCTTTTCTTTTTAGTAAACCCATTATCCACACCCACAACTATGCTAAACCAATCAGCAAACTCATCCAGCACCACACACATAATCTACTCACTCCTAAAAGCCCTATCAGCTCATAAGGCTTTTGGGGGGGACATGCAGATATAAACCTTAATACATGATTAATAATCTGCAAGGCATTTTTCAATCCAGTGAAGTTGACATAGTAGGATTAACAGTCATAATCCACTTCTGGTCAATCTCAAAGGAAAACACTTCTCCTTAAACAATACTTAAATTGTCAAATAAAACAGTTCTAAGTTCATAGTTCTGTCAAACACAATACAACTCTTTCATACAACTGGAAATGTAATAATTCCTTAACAAACACTCAGTCCCAGCATTTTTCAAATATCCAACATTCTTTTATGACTGAAGGCAAACCCTTAACTATGAACCTCTTTAAAAATCAAAAACAAGTTACATAATCCCAAAATACAACATCACAGAGTAAACATGATCATTCCAAAACAGAGAAATAGGGGGACAGAAAATGATCAGACCGAAGCAAGACTGAAACCCAGCAGGCCAAACATTATGTTCTATAGCTCCATATGCAGCACCCAGGGCACCTGATAAGGTAAGGTCTGAGTTCTGGAGGGCTTAGGTGGTTCTCTGTCTCTGTCTGTCTCAGGCTGGATCTACTCACACTCTGCAGCTTTCCTTGACAAATGTTCCTCATTATTGGCATATCCAACTTCCTCACATCTTCACTGTATCTACTGGTTTCATTACCATGTCTTAACATGCTGTCCTCTCAGGGGCTCCTTTTCTACCCACCAAATTCTCTAAAATCTTGATGAAAGTCTCCCTGACCCCAAAATGCTTCCATTTTGCAAGCAAGTAAAAACCAGCACACAGGAAAAACACCAAATTCTGCTGCCAGCAGGGACTAAAGCTAGATCATGTTGGACCTTTGCTACAAGAGACTCTAAGTTCCTGGATGGCTGAGAAGAGAGAACTGAATTCTAGGGAACCAAAACCCTAGGCAGCTCTTCTCTAGAAGAGGGTTCAGGGACTCTCTTCTCAAATGAAAAGTTTATACTTTTGCAACTCTGAGATTGTGATGAGTGGGGTCTTGCTGGTTTCTGACATCAATGTATATTTCTTCTTGCCCCTGTACAAAATACTTTATTTCTTTTCTAATCTAATCTCTTCAGCAGACATACATCCTTTAGCCCAAACTTCCCACATGGTTTTCTCTGAGACAAATTTTTTTCAAATTTTTTCTTCTCTGTCTTTTGGCCCTGATTCTCAGTATAATCTTGCTAAAAACATACAGCAGTAACCATGCAACATCCAGAATACTAAGTCATTTTAGAATTTCCTCTGCCATACTCATTAGCCCACTGCCCTTAATTTTAGTCTCCTGAAAATGCTTAGGACATAGGCAAAATATACACAAGTTTTCTGCTACAGTGTAATACATTATGCTCTCTAGTCCAGCTGCCAATGGAGTCCTTGTGCCCCACTGAAACCTCCTGTGCCTGTCCTTTACTGTTTGCATTTTTGCCAGCATCTTGAGATCTGATTAGAATCATCCACAGGCATCTGTTATAGGATACTAGGGTTTCTCTAGCCAGCATCTCTAAAACTTTCCAAACTCTTCCTATAAACCAGTTCCAAAGTCCTCTAAACTACATGGTCACAGAAATTAGCCCACTTGTTTGAACCCAATTTTGTCTATTAATTAGCTTTTCTGTTGCTGAATACAATACCTAACACCCAAAGTTTAAAGAAGGAAATTTTAATTTTGCTCAGGAATTCAGTGTATGGTCAGCTGGCTTTAAGGCAGAAATGAAAAGTCAGAAGGGTGTGGTGGAGCAAAGCTTTAGATTTGGTGGCTGGAAAGCAGGGCACGAGAACTAGGCCAAAAAGGACGGGGTGAGAGACACTGAAGCTGATGTCTCCAGGACTTACCCACACTGAGGAGTGTGCTTCACTAATCTGCTGGATATTTCTTATTCTAATGAAATTGACATACGAAGACTAACAATCATGGGCCAGCCAAATAGCATAGTGGATTAAAGCGCTTGCTTAGGCAGACACAGGGGCCAGGAGTTCAAACCCCAGGCCTGATGTGCTGGCCCTGCCCCCCGGGGTGCACTGAGACAATGATTGAGACCGGATTTGGTGGCACATGCCTATAATCCCAGCACTTAGGAGGCTGTAAACAGGAGGATCATTACAAGTCCGATCTACACAGTGAGATACTATATACTCTGTACACCCTGTCCTAAAATACAAAAAAAGAAAAGACTAACAATCATTGAATTTAATACTCTATCTAAATAGTAGTCTAAGTATATTAAGATATTTATTTACTTCTATTGAGTACAGTAACCAACAAAACTTATCTGTATCTCTTAGCACAATTATACTAGCCAAACTAACAATAATTCTTACTATGAAAACTTTAAATATATTTAAAAAGTTAATTATGTAAAATAGCAGGAACATATCCAAACATAAAATTCAAATTTATGTTAATTGTATCTAAATAAAGATTTCTAAATGTCTAATGCAATACCACACATTAACCTTTACATTTCCATGATAAAAATAAATGGAAATATCAACATAATTTTCCAAAACATAAATTTAGGCATTTTATATGTACTTAAAACTACCAAGGAGCCCTAGCAACAGCATTCCCTAGAAATAGATCTTAAATAAACTTAAAAGTTCTAATAATATTGCACTATAATAAAACAATGCAGAATATTTTCAGCAATTTAAGTCTGAAAAGGGGACTAAAGGAAGATACTCTGCTATGCCAGTATGTGTCCCAAAACATCCTGATAGCTACTATATAAGTACTGTGTGCTAACAGATGGTATGACTAAAGCACCTAGTAGTTTTAAAAGTGACATTTAAAAACTCAAGCCTGTGACAATAACCTTGTAAACTTAGCTATCAATGAACTAAAGAATTGCTTCCCATTGCCTTTCCTTGAAATGTAAATATCAAAAAAGAGGTCCTTCTCAACCTAACCTCTAAAGCTTTTACAAACATGTTCCCATTTCAACTGCTGGAAATCAGGGCCAGGAATGTAGCTCACTGGCTCAGTGCCTGCCTGGCAAGCACAAGGCCCTGAATTCGAGTACCAAAAAAAAAAAAAAAAATCAATGATCATAAATTAAGAAACAAGTAAAGGACCTGACCAACCAATCTGTGTCCAGTTCAAACAGGCTGCCTTAACCATGTTACAGTATTCCAAAGAAGGAAAAATGATGAACTTATTACCCCAACAAAACCTAGCACACTGACTTATAAGACCTAAAGCTGAGTATGGTGGCACTCACCTTAACCTCACCACTCTAGAAAACTAAGTTTGAGCCCAATTAGGCTACTTAGGCAGATCCTGCCTCCTAACCTGAGCAACTTAGCGACTTAATGAAACCCTCTCTCCACATAAAAAGTTCTTCTAAACAGTGGCTGGAGAAGTAGCTTAGTACAAAGGCCCTGGGTTAACTCTCCAGGCTCACAACGAATGAATGGACTTTAGAAGGGCTGGGGATGCAGCTCGGTGTGAGGGCCCTGGGCGCAATCCCCATTATGAGGGATGAGGAGTGGAGTGGAGAGAGCTCTGACCAAAAGCCTCTACTCCCTCACTCGACAGCTCAGATGAAGGAAAGACTAAAGCACGTACCTCTATTTCCCAAACTCCTCCCAGAGGCAAAGTGACTTCTCCTGAAATGATCTGGTTGAGCAGGCCCATCATCCAGTTCTAAAATGAATAACATTTTTAAGAAAGTCAGAAGTATCTAGGTTGCATGCAAACTCGTAACCGTTTTCAACATGCCACATACAGCAAAGCAGGAATTTTATATAGAAAGATGAAGAGCACAGCTAAAAACAGAATAGACAATAAAATGAATAAGTAGCTTCCAAAAAAATTAAAATAAATTGGTTAAATCTCATTTCTAAAGAACTGTAAATTTAAAAAAGTAATTTTACTATGATTAACTGGAAAATAGCTTTAAATTTTGCTATTGCTATGAACAGTAAAGGATACAGGTAAAGTAAATACAGACCACATTCTACAGTGTTGTCATCTCATTTTTTTCTTTTCCCTTCCTTAACTCTTTCACTTTTCCAGGTCCCCTATCCTTTTAAACAATTTCTTCCCATTTTACCCTATCTCTTGTACAATTTGGTCCTTATTTATACTTCCACAGAAGTATACTTCACAGAAGTGAAAACTGTGATATTTACACAAGTATCTAATTTATTCCATTTGTCTCCAAGTCTATCCATTTAGCAAGAAATGTCCCAAGTTGGTCCTTATTTATGGCATAGTACTCCTCCATTATAGAAAAAAAGCCTGTATCTTAAAAATCCACCTCAATTGAACATATACTCATAAGTGAAATAAACGAGACACACATATGTAAATATCATATAGCTTCCATAGTTTAAGAACTCAAAAGAAGAAATACAAATAGAAAGGTATAACACAAGTAAAAGGAAAGCAGGATTTCAAGGACTAACTAATCAAGAGAGGGAAAGGAAAAGAGCTAGGAAACATGAATAAGTCAAGCCATACAGTTATATGTAGAAGATAGGCAAGGCAATGATCCTGAGAATCTTCAGAAGGTTTTTTAATCTAGCAGTTAACTGGAAAGATTCTCACCCTAACTATATATACTGATACCTGTGAACTAAGTTACTGCACTGCAGATGGTAATTTGTAATAGGAGTTTCATGCTTGGAGTGCCTGTCATTCTGGTCTTCTGAATATGGGCTGCTTGTCATGACATGCCAGTTGCTGCTATGATG